TCTCCTTTATCATTTAACCAAATAATTTTTATTAAAGCTTTTTGACAACCCAACATTTCCATCATGAGAGGTTTTGATTTTCCTTCACGTGCATTCACGACTTTTGTACAGTGGTAATCTTCCTTGCTTGAAAGGTCTATTTCTAACAATGGTAGCCAATTCAATTTAGCCCCAGTTTTTTTCATATTTTCACATTTAGTCTTATAATTATTTGTAATCCAACAATTTTCTCTATTTTGTCTCAAAATATGTCTAATGTTACAATCCCAGGTTTGAGATTTTTCCAAGCTGGTAGGTATGTAACTGTCCAGGCATGTTTCTGCTTCCTCCCAATTTGCATTTTCTAGTATTATAATGAAATTCTTTTTAAGGTCTCTTACATCACACTTGATACTACTAGAGTTATAGTATTTTGAATTGATCAAGTCTTTTTCTTTCACACAAGTATTTTGGCTTCTGAGTGATGGGTGGTTACTTTCATAACATTCAGAAAAGATATTTTCTGTATGTACAATTTTTTTATCATCCTGTAACTTTTGCTTCTTAACATCAGGTCTATTTTGGGAACAGTAAATGTTTGCGAAATCCCTAACATATGCCTCGTTTTTGTCATTCCTTTTCTTTGCTATTTCCTTTAAATAGACAGAGGACATTTTGCTATTTAAATCCGTTGGAAACTCAGGGACACTTATTGTGCTGCTCTCTCTAAAATAGCTGGGTTTGGCAATTTCGAAGCTGGGCTGGTTTTGAGATTTTGGTATTTTTAGTATAGATGATGAAATGTTATTTTCTTTTTCATTTAATGGCATAACACTGTCAGCTTTACATCTGTTCTTAAGTTCGTGAAATGTTGATTTAGTTTCCTTGTAAAAGGTAACATCTAAAAATGGATTTTCTGTATGTCTTATGTAACTATTGTCTTTCTGAATATTGTCTCTTCCTCGGACTAAATGTTGTTGTCCATCGTGTTTAACTCTTTGTATACCGCGTGTGGAGGTGTCGGGCGGAAGCTGACTAACTTTTGCTCTGGCTTCATCACGGCAGCGCGCGCCGAAAGCCTCTCTGTCACGAAATTCTGCTTCAGAAGCTCTTCCTGAGGCCCTGGATTCAGAACCTAAATTTTGTGAGGGGAGAGACTGCAAACCCCTATTCACTTGGAATCTGGAATTCTGGCATCCTAAAGTACATATCTGCTCTCTACTGACTGATTTCTCCACACGCGAATCTGTGGAGTTATCAAAAATCGCCTTTGGTGAAACAAGGAACGCCTCGAAGGGTCTGGGCGGCAACTCCCAGGCTTTCTCCACCTCAGACAAGCGGGGCACCAAAGGCAGCCGCCACCCCGCCTCAGAGACACCACCAAGCTCCTCAAGACAGAGCCGCTTGCTCCTGGGTGGCTGGGAATCCGGGTCCTCAGGAGGCGGCAAAGAGTAGGCAGGCCCCCTGAGTGCGGCAACACGCGGCGTGGACCGCGTGAGCGACATGACAGCGAACGGAGGGGATCTGTCCGAGGTCCCGTCCGGGCTCTAGGCTCTCACCGGGCGCGAGGCGGCTCCGCCCCGCCCCCAACACCGCACCGGTTACGCCCCTGACACGCCCCTCGAGGCCTGGACTCCGCCCCTGCCTCAGG